GGAGGCCAGGTGCAGCAACCCTCAGAAGGCCAGCACCTGGGAGAGGAGGTGTCTCTTTCCCTCCTCTTCCTGTGCCGGGCAGCCCCTTGGGAGCTGGTGCAAGTCAACAGGGAGCCCATGGTGGGGAGCAGAGAGGGTGGCTCTGATCACACACGGGATCATCAGTCCCAACTGACCAAGGGCTGCTTCTATTTGGCATGTAAGCATTTGGCTTCAAATCAACTGCCAATCAAAGTTTCATAATATCCAAGAGAACAGTATCACAATTATTCAAGAGTTCCTGTGAAGTTCTCAAAATAAAATGTTTAATTTTCATTTAAAAAACACCTGTGCTATGTCTTAGGAGGCATCTTGTCTTAATATCAAGCAAATTGCAACAGGTTATCACTGTTCTCGAATCGGGCTGGGAACCAGTGGCTTGATGCTGAAACTTGAGAAGCAAACTCATCACTGCTTTAAACCCAGGAAGCCCAAATAATTCGGAAAATTACTAATATGTGGCTAAATAATTTGGTAAGTGTCCAAAATGCCAAGGAGAACTGAATTGTGATCCATAGCCATCCTCCAGGTGGGAAAGAATAAAACAAAGTCCCACAACTTTTTTTTGAAAGATTGAATTACAAAACTAGAGGAAGAAAAGAAATGCAGCTTCTGGTACAGACTTGAATTTCAGTTAAGCATTTGATCCCAATATCATGCGATTTTTGTCAACAACATGAAGGAACATGAAGAGGCCAAGAGCGGCAATGAGAGGACTGAGCAAGGACGCCGAGGAGGCCATGCACTGGGGGGTCAGAGCAGAAGCTGCAGGGCTCCCGCCGGCATGGTGGGACCCTGTCCCCGGAGGAGCCCCGGCTCCCTGCTGAAGGAGGGGCTCTCCTCCTTACTCTGACACAGGAGGAGGCATACCTCAGGCGAATTCTGCCTCACAGTGGCTGCTGCCCTCATTAAAACAAGGCTGGGGCTGAGAATTTCAGGAGGAAACCACCTGCTACACAGGAAGTGGCCTGCACACCTCTGCCAGAGATAGCTAGCTTGGGGAGGGGAGATGGTGGCAGGATGGCCTCTGCACACACTTTGGCCAAGTCTCCATCTCTAGCCAAGGCCTGCCTCCAAGGTGGCTGGTCCTCAGGAGGCACACCTGCTGGCCGGGTCTCCCGAGCACCAAGCCGCCATGCAGTAAGCTCCAGCTCCCCAGAAGGCTGTGGTCTGCCCAAAGCCACACAGCAGCAGGGTCCCAACTGGAACCCAGGACTCCCAGCCACAACCGCTGACCTAGAGCTCTTTCCCCCCATTTCTTTGGCAGGTTCTGGCATAAGGAGTCAAAGCAGGGGAGGAGCTGGACACTTCAGCATAGAAAGCTGTGATGAAGTCCATGAACCCAGAGAGATGAGGCACTTTGACCTGTCAGGGGCAGCTTCCTAAGGGCACAGAAGGGAAAAAAACAAAAGCAAGTTTATACTCAGAGGGAAACATAATCTGTGATTATAAATATTTCATGGGCGAAGAAAGCGGTACTGGCTGAGAGAGCGGGGTGGAGAGGGTGGACGGCAAATGAGATCCCAGCTTGCAAAGTGATAGGGCAGCTGGAAAGGCCGCAGAGCTGAGGCTATTCTGGGCTGTGCTGTGGGGGCCTGCGTCACGGGCCCTGGCCACCCAGCTTTGTTGAAACCACAGCCCTCGTCGGTCAGCACGGAACACCTTGGGAAGAGGGTTTAAGTCCACGGAAGACCAGAAGAGGGGACAACAAGGACAGAGAGGAGAGTCGCTTGGATGATTTTCGTGAACCTCAACAGCAGGAAGGCGGGTGAGGGGAAGCAGCAGAGCAGCCGGCGCCCCGGCAAGCACGTGAAAGGAAGAAAACGCTTCCTGCTGACTAAGGGCAGAGGGAGAAGCGAGCCTGACCCCAGAAAGCAAGTGACTGGAGCAGCCAGAGGGCAGCTTGGGTCAAACTGCTCTGGTCAGAGCAAAGGTCCAGCCCCTGAGCAGGGAGGACCAGGCTGAGAATAACAATTCCACCTTCCCTTTGCCTTGGGCCAGGGGTCTCTTCCTCCCACAGCCTTTGGGAAGCAGCACAAAAAGCAGGGGAATTAAGAGCCCGCCGAGTACCAGCTGCTGCAGCCGGAGAGAAACTCTCACCACTGGCAAAGCAGGGTTTTGGTGGGATTCCTCCTCCTTAGCCACATCCAACCACTGCAGCAGAGCGTGTCAGCCTCAGATTCTAAGCCCTTCCCAAGGGCCAGAGGGAAGGAGTAATAGCTCCTAAAGAACCAGAGCACCAAGGAATCAAGCTTAGTCAGAGGAGCCCTGGGGAGCAGCACACTCCTCCACTGGAAGACGTAAAACCAAGAGCCTCTGCCTCCTTGCCAAGGCTCAGCGGGCAACAGGCTCCAAGGTGTGCCCCCGGAATTCAGAAAAATAAGAACATCAGCCTCTAGGATCACAGCCAGTATGAACTAGGTCAAGATGGGAAGGATTCATCAACCACAAAAGGTGGACCCAGTATTACTGTTGGAAGACCCTGAATTGGAAGTCACGGGATCTGGCTTTGAGACCAGCTTTGCCATTTTGTTAGTTGTAGGACCCTCAGAAATCACGTTACCTCTGAAACTCGGTGTGCTTATCTAAAAAATGGGACCAATGCCTACAAAATCCAAGGACTGTAAGGAACACCAAGACCATACATATACAGGAATGTTTTCAAAATACACAGTTTTTCCAATTTAAGAGATTACTTATACCCGGCTACCTACTTGGACATCCCTCGGATATCTCTAGGCCACCTCCATTCAGCTTGCCCAAAACTTGCTCCTTCCCCATCCTCAGGCCTCCCCTAGAGCATTCTAGCTCAGTGTTCAGCGTAACCATCCAGGCATGGAAGCCAAAAACCTGACCTATCCTTGGCCTTTCCCCACCGTATTCACCCATTACCAGGCCCAGTCAACTGCACCCACTCCCCTCCACCACCCCCCAGTCTACTGCAAAGCCCACACTCATCCATTCTGGCCAGCCATTCTCTGCAGAGTAAATCTAACCAGGTCTCCCCTCCAGCAGCATCCCAGTATCCATCCTAAGTAGGAGAAAAATCTTCTGGGGTTCTTGAGGCTGTGCTCCCCTTCCGGCTTCATCTCACACCATGCTCCTTACTCCCTGCTCCAGCCATCCTGGCTTTTTCTTTCAGTCCCTGGCACGTATCCCATTCCCTCCTAGCTCAGGGTCTGTGTATGTGATCTTCCCTATGCCTGCAACATTTCCCCCTCTTCTCCCACTTAGCTAATCCCTATTCGCTTCTTTTCACCAAGGCATAAAGCACACTAAAGCGTACAGCTCAGTAATTATTCAGATGTCTGCACTCATGTCATGCAAATCTGGATTTAGAATGTCCCCAACACCCAGAAGGTTCCCTCTTACCCCTTTCCAGCCAACACCCTCCCCATGTAACTATTACTTTGACTTCTATCACAGTACCTATACTCAGACTGCATGTGATGTGACCCTTTCTCAGGGAAGCTGCCTCTGATCCCACTAAAAAACTCTCTTTATCATAGGTCCTTGCTACACGTGGGGTTTTGCGTTTGTTTGAAGAATTATTTGATTCATGTCTGTTTCCCGTGGACACTATAAGCTCCAGGAGGGCAAGGACCACACCTGCTTATACTCACCTTTGTTTTCTCAGTGCTGGCCCATGCAGTCATGGTAACAGGAAATAGATACTACTACTGAGTGCTTATTATTGCCAAATACCGTTCAAGCACTTTATAGATACTAACTCACTTAATCTTCACACCAACCCTATCAAGTAGGCATCATTATATCCCCATTACAGGTGAGGAAACCAAGCCACAGAAAAGTAAAATAATTTGCCCATATTCATTAAGTTGTAAGTCAGAAAGTCAGGATTCAAACCCAGGCAGCCTGGCTACAGAGCCTGTGTTTTGTTTTGTTTTGTTGAGACAGATCTCACTCTGTTGCCTGGGCTAGAGTGCCATGGCATTAGCCTAGCTCACAGCAACCTCAAACTCCTGGGCTCAGGTGATCCTCCTGCTTCAGCCTCCCAAGCAATTGGAACTATGGGCACACACTGCCATGCCCGGCTTACTTTCTCTCTATATATTTTTAGTTGTCCAGATAATTTCTTTCTATTTTTTCAGTAGAGACGGGGTCTCACTCCTGCTCAGGCTAGTCTCAAACTCCTGAGCTCAAACGATCCAGCCACCTCAGCCTCCCAGAGTGCTAGGATTACAGGTGTGAGCCACTGTGCCCGGCCTAAGCCTGTGTTTGTAATCCTTATACTACGCTGATTCTCAGAGGCCACTGAGATATTTAATAAGTGCTAAGGTATTTTAAATGAATAAATTTATAAATGAGTTGATGAGATTCCACTCACTAAAAGAACTAAGGGAGCCTCTAAATCTTCCCAAGCCGACCAACAAATGAATGGAAAATAATTTTCACTGAATCACCTATAGAGGGCCAAGACTATATCATGTGCAAAATACAAGGACATGTCCATCACTCCAGCAGTCCAGGGAGGAAGCTCTGCTACTGGGCACAAAGGAACGTTCCGGCAGACACTCCAGAGTACAGAAAGGATTTCCCCTGTCTGGACCTTACTGCAGCCTAAAGGAAATGTTCCACTAGATTAAATAAGCCCCTCTGCTCTTATTCCATAATAACCCAGTAATCTTTATAACCATTTAAAGTCTCAAGCCCTCTAACGCATAAAGAGGATATTTTTGATGAGAAAAATAAAAGCAAAAAACTTTTGGTTAGAAAATGACAGACTCCATGGAACATTCGTAAATTGGCATTTGGTTGGTACCTCAATTTTTCAGAGCCTGATAGCCCTGGATGAACTCATATCCTAGGGCCCAAACAAGAAAAGGACCCGGACCCTGGCACCAGGGATACTCCATGCTTGTGTGTCCAGATGCAGGTTGGCCACCCTAGCTGCCACTGCATCGTCTACCTCCCAACCACACCCAAGCACTCTCAGGAAGAAAACATACACGAACATGTTTATTCTCTCACAGACGCTGCTACTGCTCCCCAGCACAGAGGGGACAGCCACGTGGTTCCCGAGTTCCCTCTCAGCAAAGGTGCAATTCTCAGGACTGCTGCATTCACGAGCCCCCTGCAACCAGATGCCCGGGCTCTGCTCACACAAAGTTCTGAGCGATGGCCAGCACCTTGGAATACTCGCCTTCCCGCCGGCGCAGGCTGGCGGGGATGGGTGTCTTAATGCGGGTCCCCACAGGGTTCCCATTGTCCTCAATGAGGACCACATTGTTGGAGTCGAACCTGGGGGTCATTCGGGGGCCAGGCATGCGATGCCCCACAATGAGCGCCTTTTTCTTCTGTCCCCTGATGGCCAGCAGTATCCGGTCGCCCACCTTGCCCACCCCACTCTTGGTATAGACGTGGATGCACCGAGGAGGGCGATGGTATGGGGTGTTCCCCAGGGCGCTGTTGTCCACCACTCGCACCCGTGTCATCTTCTGAATTGCACCGAGGCTCCCAGTGGTGCTGGCAGGAGAGAAAAAAGAAGTCAGCGATCTGTATCTCCCCTGATCGGGGCGCACGGGCCTCAGAGGGGACAAGGCTAGGGTGAGAGTGCATGTTAGCAACACACACATACACACGGAGCAGAGCACAACCCCAGAGCCTCAACGAAAAGGACTTTGTGAAGACTTACCTGTACCCAAAACAGTTTCCTTACAATTGAGAGTTTCTGCTGTCGTGTCAAGATCTCAGTTTGGATGGTTTTAAAGAGAACCCAATTTTTCTTTTTTTTTTTTTTTTTTGCATGTTTTTACAGAAGAGACCAATTTTTCTTTTACAACGAACTTCGTAGCATTAGTTACAGCCTTTAGTTTCCAAAAGGACTCTGAAGACTAAAAGGAATCCCCCATGGGCCAGGCATCACCCACTGCCTATCCTGTAAAACCTGCTTCCCCAGAATACATCCATTCCCAAATTTTCTTAGTTATTATGTTGCTGGGAACTGGAAGTCAAGTGAGTAAGTTTGCTAAGGGAGTCCCTTTACACAATGTAGTGGAAACCGGACATAAGTCAAGGTAACAATTTTTTGTTTTAATACAGTTTTCCTGACTAGAGAGAAATTTTTTAAAGAATGCCCATTAAAGGGAGAGAAGGTATAATTAAGCAAGGTGATTACAGCGGGATTTCTATTTTCCTGATGCTGGGGCCATAAGTGCTGGTGTTCTCCAGGGTAATCCTGGGACCTCTTCTCTCCTTCTACCCTGGGCAACTTTATCCATTCCCACTGCTGCCAGCCAGTATATTCCATCTCCAGCCCCATCTCTTTCCTATAGTTTAGGCCCATATAGTTCCACTCTTCTGTACTCCCTACAACACGCTCTGTAGTTACTGCAAACTCAGTAGGTCCTAAACTACATCGTTTGCCTCCCCTTGCAAATCTCCAGCTGCTGCATTTGGTATCTAGATAATAGCTTCTCCAGAAACTCCAGTTCCCAAGCCGTAACTCTCTCCACCAGCACCCACTGGCTGCCCAGTCCTGCTGATACCACCTCCCAAGCACCTGTGTCCTTCCTCTCCACCCCCACTGACAATGTCCTTCATTTAGCAGGTTGCTTTCCTATACCAAGACTGCGACGTTAGTGTCCTAACTGGCTCCCACTGCGCCGCACTCTGCTGACAAAGAGCTCTCTTCGGAATATAAAGCTGAAGGCCAAGCACATATGTCTTGCAGTCTCAGCTACTCAAGAGGCTGAGACAGGAGGATCACCTGAGTCCAGGAGTTTGAGACCAGCCAAGGCAACATAGCAAGACCTCATCCCAATTTTTAAAAATAAGTTTATTAATTAAAATGAGAATATAAAATTGATGCCATTTCCCTGCTTAGAATTATTTGATGTTTTTCCACTTTCAACACCATCAACAACCTGGCCCCAATTTACCTGCTTTCTGAGGCCACACATCGACTCTGTGCACCAGTGGCCAAGAACTAGTGGAGTTCTCCAAGTACACCCCACCCCTCAATCCTCCCTGAAGGCCTGGACAGGATCTGCTCCCACTTCTCTTCTGGGAAAGCTGCCTCCACTCTCCTCTCTTCTTTTTCCTCCAGCATTAGCAGCTCCCCTCTCAGGCCTTCCAAAGACCTATACAAATCTTTGTTGTTATGTTCATCATTTTTTTTTTTAGACAGAATCACACTCTGTCGCCCTAGCTAGAGTACAGTGGCGTCATCATTGCTCTCTGCAACCTCAAATTCCTGTGCTCAAGTGACCCTCCTGCCTCACACTCCTGAGTAGCTGGCACTACAAGTATGCACTACCGTGACTGGCTAATTTTTTCTATTTTTTGTGGAGACAGGGGTCTCACTCTTGTTCACGCTGGTCTTGAACTCCTGACCCCAAGCAATCCTCCCGCTTGGCCTCCTAGAGTGCTAGGATTACAGGCGTGAGCCACCGTGCAGGCCATTGTCTCATTTTCTCAAGTTATGTATTTTTAAGTTTGCTCCTGTGGCCAACAGTGAGTGCTCTTTCAGGGAAGGGTGCAATTCTCACCCATCTCTTCATGACCAACCCCAGGGTCAGTGCTCAGTAAACACCTCTGTGGATGACAGCAGGAATGAGGCCAGCAGGCATATCTGCCAACAGGCATGCCTCCTCCCATGCTCACTGTCCTGGCTTACCATCTGAAAGGAGGAGAGGGCATCACATTTCTATCATGCTCAAGTTTTTGGTAATAAGCATGTTAACAATTTTGTAATCACTAAAAGACTCCATTTTTAAAAGAGAGGGTTCTAACGCACCAGGGGAGTGACAGGGTCTGGGGATGTCAGATTTACTACAAGAGTCTTGTGAGGACTGGAGACTAGCAGGACTGGAGACTCCACCATATACCTTACCTATCCCATCTCCCACAGCAACATCACCTCCTTACCCATCCCCCGCCCTGTGAACTGACCAAACCCTGACTCCTTTAGCCTTCCCCAACCCCATGCCCACCTCCCTGAGTTTCCACTCCTGTTCTAATCACTATAATACCCAGCCCTGACGGGAGGCTTACTCAAAGACACAGTTTTAAGAACTTAATAGAAAAAGTTACCTGAAATAGCGCTGGCTGAGTGCTCTGCTTACATGGGCGATGGGGCCCCAGGGCCCAGTAAAGAAAGCCATGGGATCCCAAGACTGCAAATCCTGTGGGGAAAAAGGGTGGGGGGAGATTGATTTCTAAGTCAGAGCCCTTAGAGTCGGTTTTCTTCAGGGACTTGTGTGGGAGATGGCACTTCTAGCACAAGATCATTAGTCACTAAATATAAATCTTAGTGGTTAAAAGATACACAGATGATTAGATGGAACTCTAGCTCAAATTGTGCTGACTCACATTCGAACTCTGGGGTCGGAGAACTGGAATGGCCACAACAGTTCTTGCTATAAGTAATAAAACAGCACAGATAATGCCTTCTTCGTATCACTTTCACAGGCAGAGGAAAACATGAATCCTCAGTATAAATCCAGCCAGTGACTACTTCCCAAGTCCTCCATGGAGGAAAAATTGCACACTATTGCACTTGTTGACATTCATTTGACTTCTGAAACCAGCACTTTAACTCCCCAAAAGAAAGTAGGTTATCTAAAAGCAGCTGCCCAAGTTGTCTGTCATTACATCACCTTTCCCCCAAATGTAAAAGCCAGGTCACCTGCATAGCTCAAGGCCAGGAAGGGAGAGTCAAATGCTACCCTTGCCAAGTCAGTGACCAAATTCTCTGTTTGGATCAGTCTCCCAAACATGGAAAAATTGCCTACACCATACTGTAGCTAAAAGTGGACTCTGGGAAAGCAAGTTGGAGATGAAAGAGCAAACACTAACCTAAGACCCATGGCTCAAGTTTGCAGAGCCTCAACCCTGTTGCTCCCTAGCACTAACAAATGAGAAGTTGCCAGCTTTCCCAACACCTGAGCATCAGCCAGGGGTGTGGTTAAGAAAAGCTGGCACCCAACTGGTGATTCCAGCTGCAAAGCATACCTGTTCTTCCACCTCAATGTTTAGCTACAGAGGGCCTCACTGGAGAGCTCTGCTGAGAAAAGCCTCTACACTGTAGTATTTACACACAGCTTTGCTTTGCACAAGTTCAAAGCAGCTCAGATAAGATTTTATTTAATAAGGGTGAGGGGAAAACCACTATTTACTTCCCCAGGAATACCTAGACACTCCATAAATACTTATTAACTACAATTTAGCCTTAAATCCCACACTTACTCCCAAGTGTTTTCCTTAAGACAACCCATGAAGCATTGGTCAAAATGTAATTATGCTCTGAAAATTAAGTTCAAAAGAAGGCAGCTAATGTACAAAACTACTAACATCGGACACACATAGAATCATAAACTATCAGATGAGACCAGCTTTACTTTTACTAGTGAGGTGACCCCGGACAAGTAACTAAACTTCTGAGCTCCGGTTTCCCATCTGTAACACAGTGATACTATTAATATCTTCTCACAAGGTGCTTATGAGTATTCAATGAGATAAGCTATGCAAAGTACTTAGCACAGTGCCTGGTTTATCTATTAGCTGTCATCATTGTCTTCTTCCTCCTCATCATGTCACATCTTATTTCACAGATTAGGAAACTGAGATACAGACAGATGAAGTGGCTTGCATAGAGCCCCACTAGTCAAAGGCAGAACCAGAACTGGATCCATCTTGGGTCCAGGTATTCCCACCACACTCTGTTTGCTCGCTCTGCCATACAAAGCTCATTTCACACAAGAGAGCTCTAGGTGTCAAGCAGCTTTGAGGGTCATCTGGTCTCTTTCCGTTTTATTTATAAACATTTATCCAAGTGGTTACAATGTGTCAGACAGGCTAAGTGCTTTATATTGCTATCTCATTTAAGCCTCAAAAAAGTTCTATGCAGCCAGGCACAGTAGGTCGCACCTATAATCCTAGCACTTTGAGAGGCCAAGATGGGAGGCCAAGAGTTCAAGACCAGCCTGAGCAATACAGCAAGATCCTCACTCTACAAAAAATGTAAATATTAGCAGGGCATGGTAGCATGCACCTGTAGTCCGAGCTACTCAAGAAGCTGAGGCAGAAGGATGGCTTGAGCCCAGGAGCTTTGAGGCTGCAGTGAGCTATGACGATACCAGTGCAGCCCAGGCAAAAGAACAAAACCAAAAAACCAAAATAAAAACAAAAAAACCTCTACAAAATGGGTACTATTATTAGCCTCATTGTCATATATAAAGAAATAAGGTCCAGAGAGGTTAAATAACTTGCCCAAGGTCACACAGCAAGGAATGACAAGGCTGAAATTAAAACCACCCCCCCAAGTCAGCTTCCTAAACACATGGTCTTACTCAACAGACAGTAAACGTGGCGACTTTAATTTAAATATTAATATTTTTCCAATTGTTAAATCATTCTTGTTCCATCAATAAATCTGACATCACATTCATATTTTACAGCCAACTTTGTGCTTGCTGAATCAACTGAAATGTAGATAAACACCAGGTAAAAATTATTCACTTTAATCCAATTAAGTTTTGAAGACAATTTGTAGTGTAGGCGGCAAGAAGAGCTCCATGATCAGAGCAATAACTAAAAATTGGTGCAAAAAAAACCCTCTTACTTACACACACACACACACACACACACACACAAACATAGCTCTGAAAAGCAGTCCTTCTGGTCCAAGCTGCAGTCACCTCAAATCCCAGCCAAGCTTTCCCATCTGATGCTGGCAAGCCCTTGGGCTCACTCCCTGGGAGAAAAGAGGCTCCTCAGCGACTCCACAGATCCTCAAGATTAACCCGGCACCACCCACATTCCCTCTCCTGAGAATTGCAACACCCTGCCTCTCCACACTGCATTGCTTCCTCAAGAACATTAGTCTAAGAACTGCGTAAGTGTCTATGGGCTTCCCAGAACTTTCCAGACTCGGGTATCATCACAGGCACCTCCCTAAATTCTGTAGTGCTGTCAGTGCACAAACCCAAATCAAGGCCTCTTCTCTGTGCCTTGCTCATAAAGCATCCCCACAACCTATGCCCATGTCTGCCCAGCAAAATCTAGCCAGCTCCACGCACACCTCCAAGAAGCCCTGCATGCAAGTGAGCATCGGTTGCTGTCCCTCCTGCACACTGGGGACATCCGGGTATCTCGCGGGAACTCCCACTGAGCCAATATTCACTATCCGAACACAGACAATGAATAAATTCGGATACTTTGAGATACGGCAGATGTCCTTTAACATTCTGTTTCTTCCTAATCATTATCCAAAACTCAGAAACCACAGAGATCCTGATAATATGGCATCTGAGCTTGCAACAGGAATTCAGGAACCACACACAGACTTAGGTGGTGAGGATTACTTATACTGACCTCAAACACAAGAGTGATACACTTATGTCCCAGGAGCACTTCCACTTTCATAAGAAAAGGCCTGATTCAGTGACTTTTCACTAGCTCTTTAGTGGATCCAAAATTGATCTCCAGACCCAGACCCAAAGAACTCAGACATCAAATGGACAGAAGTAAGCATTCCTATGAACTTGAAAGCAACAAAAGAATCAAACACATTCACTTATTATATGTCCCTTATCCCTCCAAAAAATAAAAATATCTGTTGTCCCCCCAACTTCCACCCCAGTAAAAGACCCAAGCAGGTCCTGATTAACAGCAGAAACACAGTAAATATTTGTTGAATAAAATGAAGTAGCCAATAGAAAGCAGATCCCCCACTCCCTACCCATGGCTCTACACAGAAGGAAAGCCAGACACTACAGAGCTCCTATCTGTATATCAGGAACCCAGACATTGCAGGCAAACATGTCAGAATGATGGTGTATGTTGTGGGAGGATTAACCCATGTTTTGTTTACAGGACCCTGGAATCATCTCCTGGGCCTGGTGCCTACACCGCCCACTATGGAAAAGGCCTCATTCCACCACTAAATAACTGCTTCGGACCGGAGAAGAGTAACGGAGGTAGCAATTTACCTCAGAGCAACTTTGATGGACCCTGATGTTATTTCCTGGCATAAATCCACGCTGTAGACACAGGCCCTGATTCACTTCAGACCTAAGGTCTATATATAATGCTTTGTTTCACAAGCAATGTTATTGAGTCTTGTGTTTGCACAGGAGACTGACCTCAGTGATATTTCCTTCTCTGTAACACTCTAGAGGAAGCCAGGTATTTTGGAAGATTCCAGTGCCAGAGACGGCCTTTCATGTCACTTCCTGGTCAGCACTATCACCCTCCTGTTTTAGATATGAATCACAAGCTTGCCCTTAAAAAAGAGAGAGAGAAAGACAAGGGGAGAGGGTGGGAGGAGGGGAAAGGAAAAAGAAATTACTCAATACAATCCAAGAGTTGTGCTCATTTTCCATCTAGCTTTGAGATCTCCCTTCAGTCGTAGAGGCGAGGACTGTGGATTTCAGAGACAATCAGGTGAGCTGTTCACCTGGCATCACCCTGGGTCTGGGTCCCAGTGCACGCTCTGCTCAGTGTTGCCCACTCAGGGCCCAGAACAGTGCCTGGCACACAACTGGAGCTGAGTGACTGTCTGTAAAGTAGACAGATTTGATTTACAATTCAACCTCCAGCTCCAGAAAAGCTCCATGTGTGTGAAGGGGAGTAGGGAAGGGTAAGTGGTTTTTCTTACACCCTTCACCCAGGTTCCCAGTGACTTGGGGGAGCCTCCTAGGCACTGAGAGCTCATTTTTAGCTGGCCTGAGTAGGAAGAGCAGACAGAAAGAACCTACACCTTTGATGCTTTGTAGAAAGCTAGAAAGTATCATTACTTGAATTTTGAGGACCAGCAAAATGTGCTTAGTGTCACAGATCTATATATAATTATACATTGTTTCTCCCTAAACAATTTTAATCTTTAGGTGCCTGGCATGTTACATACATTTTAAAGGCCTTTCAAGGGTTAAACTCTACAGAAAAAGGAGAAAACAAAAAGTTCAGCACAGTCACAAATGAGTGCTTAAAGTAGAATCTGTTACTGAGCAATGGAAGGGAAACACTAAGAGAAATCAAATACAAAGACCAGTCGCAAAAAGGACAAACTAGTACACAGATATAAATGTGTTTCTTAATCAAAGCAGGGAAAAGCAAAGGCCTGACACCTCTAAGTAATCAAAAAACGGGAACTCTCAGGATCCTCCACACAGTCAGTCATGCAGACACAACCCCTCCCATCTCCCGGCAGGTTTCTCCCCAGTCATTCTAGACCAGTGAGTACTTTTTCCTTTGTTGCTTAAAGGCTCATTACCAGTTGTGCCGTCAGAAGATTCCCTTTTGGGAAGTTTGTTGTGTGTGTTTTTTAACCTCACACAAATATAACATGTTACAATTCTCAAAATACTTTCACACAGATCGTTTTTCTTTGAAGATTTCATTCCTGAGCTTCCAGAGGAAACACAAAGACAAAAAAGAGCAACAGTCTGCAGGGGCTGAATATGCTAAGAATTCTGAACTATTCTGAGGGCTCAATAGAATAAGAACCATTTTGCAGATGGAGAAATGAAGTCTGAAATACTGAGAGAGGCCGGCGTGGTGGTAATCCTAGCACTATGGGAGGCCAAGGCAGGAAGATTGCTCCAGGTCAGGAGTTTGAAATCAGCCTGAGCAAGAGCAAGACCCGGTCTCTACTAAAAATAGAAAGAGGCCGGGCGCTGTGGCTCACGCCTGTAATCCTAGCTCTTGGGAGGCCGAGGCGGGCGGATTGCTCAAGGTCAGGAGTTCAAAACCAGCCTGAGCAAGAGCGAGACCCCGTCTCCACTATAAATAGAAAGAAATTAATTGGCCAACTGATATATATATAAAAAATTAGCCGGGCATGTTGGCGCATGCCTGTAGTCCCAGCTACCCGGGAGGCTGAGGCAGAAGGATCACTCGAGCCCAGCCAGGAGTTTGAGGTTGCTGTGAGCTAGGCTGACGCCACGGCACTCACTCTAGCCTGGGCAACAAAGCGAGACTCTGTCTCAAAAAAAAAAAAAAAATAGAAAGAAATTGTCCAACTAAAAATACATAGAAAAAATTAGCTGGGCATGGTGGCGCATGCCTGTAGTCCCAGCTCTTGAGCCCAGGAGTTTGAGGTTGCTGTGAGCTAGACTGATGCCACGGCACTCTAGCAGGGGCAACAGAGTGAGACTCTACATTAAAAAAAAAAGAAAGAAAGAAAGAAAAAAAAAATACTGAGAGAATTGTTGATTTGTCCAAGGTTAGAAGGCAACAAAGTCCAGACTGGAGCCCAAGGCTGTTTCTATGATACACTGCACAATACCTGTACAGCCAATATGCTGCTTTAACCGCTAATAAACTTCACAGAAACAAACATACCACATACAACAAGGCAAGCATTCTTTTTCCTTTGTCAAGGCTGCAACATAATCTTTAAAAACTCAGGAAATAAAAATCTACCTTTTCAGTAAATATCTGTACTACACCCAGCTCAGCCTAGGATCAAAGCTGAAGCTGGTTCTGATTCACTGGCCAAGGGGTGAATTTTCACATCACTATCAATAGGCAAAGCATTCCTCAACAGCAGGATGGGCTGTTTCCAACACAGCTACCAATGAGAAAACCTTATTTCTCAATTTGACTCACAAAGAAAAACATGTCCAAAGGTCCTGTCTTATCTTTGTTTATTTACCTAACTTATGCCCTATCTTTTTACAAAGTATTTAAATCAGTAGTTCTTAGATATATAGAATTCTTGATTATTCAAGCTGGTTTTTCAATGTGTAGATTTTATCTATTCTAGCTTTGCTGCCCCACCATCCCTACCTTGCAGGTGTGCAAACACCTATAATCCAAAATTAAGTTTGTAACATTCTTTTTTTTTTGAGACAGAGCCTCATTCTCTCACCGGGGCTAGAGTACCATGGCATCAGCCTAGCTCACAGCAACATCAAACTCCTGGGCTCAAGTGATCCTCCTGACTCAGCCTCCCAGGCAGCTGGAACTATAGGCACATGCCATGGTGCCCAGCTAATTTTTTCTATTTTTAGCGGTTTGGCTAATTTCTTTCTATTTATAGTAGACACAAGGTCTCACTCTTGCTCAGGCTGGTCTCGAACTCCTGAGCTCAAGCAATCCTTCCGCCTTGGCCTCCAAGAGTGCTAGGATTACAGGCACGAGCCACCATGCCCGGCCTGTAACATCCTTTGCATAGTCAAACTCAGGAAAAAATTCACAAGGGAAAGTTAATTTCTTCCTAACCACATACATATTCCCTTCCTATTCAAGGACCCAGGTGTATGGAGATGTCAGGTGGGCAGGACAGCAATGAGGAAAAAGGCAGGCCTAGGACAGGGATTGGGGGGGGGGGTGTCCTTAGAACCAAAGAGGAAATGCAGCTGACAGAAAGTATATCCTCTTCACCCCATCCTCCCTCCTCTTCAGCTAAGTCTGTGACCCTGGAATCACTTGTCCAGGTCTCAGCAACTCTGTCAAGTATAGGTCATTGGGAGAGCAAAGAGGCATGGAAGTGCTTTAGCTTCACTCACGTAAGTAATCATTTTAACATGGACGATGCCTCTCCGATTATCCAGTAGGGACCAGGTCTGTGGGATAAGCAGGTTGTTTCCCAGATCTGAACTGAAAAAGCAGCCTCAACTCCCTGATTCTCAGGGAAGCATCATGGGTGGCTCTTTAAGATCACTCAGCCCTAAAGAGTTTTCGGCTTAGAGTGGACATGGAAAAGTGCTTCCTTCCTCTCTTTTTTAAAGACATGAGTGACTTTTAAAAGCTTTTGACAAAGGACTTTCCTACTTTGAATTGTTTTTCACTAGTGAACAATAAGCTACCTGGCACCTTTTTAAACCTTTTAAATTCAGCATATTACCGGATGCTGAACAAGGTTTCTGAAATCTGAATCGCGGTCTTCTCTTGCACACTGGCTGTCATTATCAAGACACATGTAAAATCACAGCAGGGTAGCTACAACCCAGACAAGCTATCAGCTTATAAAATGGAAGGTTAAACTATAACCTGATGTATGAGCCCCCCACAGCCATAACTATTCAAGTAACATGACAACAGGAAAAGCCATCGCAGATGGGCCCAGGTGTCATAATCCTGAAGACAGGACTGGATCAAAGTAGGTTTTAAAGCAGGAGGTCCAAAAAGTAAATAAAATAAAACAGGGGGTCCCAACCTACGGTGAGCTGTATAATTATTTCATTACACACTACAACATAATAATAATAAAGTGCATAATACATGTAATGTGCTTGAATCATCCTGAAACCCTTGCCTCCTTCCATGGAAAAATTGTCTTCCATGAAAACAGTCCCTGGTGCCAAAAAGGTTTGGGACCACTGTTTTAAAGGATTCTTGCATCATCTAAGATCCTGGGAGCTGAGGACGCTCAACAGAGCATCACTTGAAAAAAGGAGTTCAGGGAAGGATTTTACCCTTGATATTCAGGAGCAATAATAAAACATTTTGGCCATTGTTCCTTCATGGATTCCACAATGCCTTTAATTTAATTCTTATTTCAGGCTTTGAAATGCTTCCCCTCCCCTCTGTCTAGAGAGTATCACTTGATGGTTCATATACTCCTTGAGGATTACTGTTAATAGGTGGTGACCCTAATTAAGCACGGGCAGAAATATCTCAGGAATCCGCCAGTTAGCTCAGGAATTCGTATTCCTAACTGTATTATTTTTTAAAATAATATATAAGAAATGTCTTCTAGGAATCCTCAGAGGTCCACAAACCAGGTAACTACGGTCTCCACTTCCATTTTCCAGATATCCATTACAAGTTCTATTTAATAAATGTTATGGTTCCACACAGGCAATGGAACACACCTGTTTCACAACGCCCAGAATCCAAGACTACAAAGACTCCTCCCACCAGTTACTAAAGACAGCTTCACCTCCAACTTGCTTTCTGTCACAAGTGAAAAACTGTCCTTCCTAATTAAGTCAATCTACTTCCTACTCCAACAAAATCCTTGCTTTTCAATTGCATGTACAATATTTCCAGTGATGAACAGTGAATACTGCCTTCTCGGGCAGTAACTTCTCTGAAGAAAGAGATCCACTCTTCTTTAGTGTATACTGCTGATATGATAACTGCATCCTCGTGGGTAATTTAAACAAGACTGAAAACTCAGGCTAATGAAGGCAAGAGGGGAAGTAAGAGGATGAATGAGATTAGTGTTTTTCAAACTTTTCTCACAGTGACACACAGAAATACACTGTATAACACCTCCTAATACTCTCACACCTGTGTACATCTTAAGTGTCAAAAACAAAAAACCAATACTTACACTAAGTATTGCAACACCCTCTGATATTTTCTATTATATTTTTTAAATGATGGCCAGGATCTACTAAACTGATTTCCAACTCACCAATGGGACTCACAGTTCGAAAAACACTGCAATAAATCAAACCTTAACAGTTGCATTCCACAAGCTACTAATAAACTCTTGAAAAACCAGCCGGGACAGCCCAGATGCTGACCAGCTACAAGAACCAGACACCCCCAGGTAGGCAGTGTCCCTCTGACCAGCACTGGCAGGGAGGCAACTCCCCACCACTACCAGCCCTGGTTTAAGTATCTCCCAAACTCCCAGTGTTTCCCAAGTAACCCAAGGTGACTCTGTCATATGCCCTATTATTAACCTTTTTATAAATCCAGTTCACTCAATGTCTTGGGGTGGCAAAGTTCATTTACTGCCCACCGTGGAAAGCAGTACTTCATTTCTGTCCCGTCCAGGAACTCGAAATTAAAACAAGGTGGTGCTCCTTGTACCTTTGTGATCTACTTGTGTGGTTGACACATAAAGTCAGTCTGTCTCCCTCCTTCAGTCTTAATCACTGGCAGGTTCGGTCTCTGGTGAGATGAGAAACCAGGGAACCCCCTGGACGGGGGGGAGGGGGGGGGCACTCATCAGCATGTCAGAAGTGAAAGCAAGAACTCACTCCCCACGCCGCAGAAGCGCCTCGCTAACTCCTCTCCCGACCCAAGCTGGGAAAGGGGAGTGGAGAGACCCGAGGAGACGCGCCAGGGCGGCCGGCGGTACCACCGCACGAAGGCTGGGCCGCAGCCCGCCCCTCCCCAGGCTCCGCAGCCCGGGGAAGGCAGGCGAGCGCAGGCGGCCGCGCGGGGGGCGCAGGAGCCCCGGGGACCCCGCGGGGAGCGGGAAGGAGGAGCGTGCAGCGCAGAGCCGCCCGCCGGCACCCCTCCCACCGACCCTCCGCCCCACGAGGGCCCACTGTCCTCCCTCCCGCCTCCCTCACCCACCGCCGGGACTGCGCCTCCCCTAGCGCAGGAAAGAAGGGACGAGGGTCAGGGGAGATCTGGGAGCTGGACGCCGCCCCTCGCCCCCCAACCATACCGCTCTCGCAGCCCGGAACTATCCGCCGCAGGCCGCGCGGCCCAGCGCCGCCTTCCCCCACGCGGCTCCGCGTCGCGCCTGCGCGCCAGGCCCGCCGGCGGCCGCGGGCCGCGAGTGCGCGCGCGCCGTGCGTGTGCCGGCGTCGGGGGTGGGACCTGCGGGGCCCCGCCCCTCCCCGCCCTCCCTCCGCCCGCTCCCCCTCCCCCATACGCCGCCGCGGCCGCCGCAGGAGCCCGGAGCTCGAGCCGCCCAGCGACTCCCCCTCCCCCTCCCCCAGCCCCGCCCCGCCCCAACCCAGGGGCTCCGACCCGGAGCCGAGTCTGCGCCTGGGGTGAGTACGCGACCCTTCCCCGGCCCCCTCTCTTTTCTTTGAGGATCCCACCACCACCCAAAGAAAAAACCCGGACTCAGCTGCGCGTCCCCTCCCTTCAGCTTCCTGCGGGACCCAGAGGTGCCCGGGCCCGCGGGACCCAGCGGTGGCGCGCGCTGCCCCCAACCCCGCACCATCTCGAGCCAAATGTGAGTCCTCCAGCCCCTGCCAGGGGTCCAGATATGCGCCGCCCTCTCCCCCCTGCCCGCGGGAGATCCCGAGGGGTGGGACCCCCGCCCCCGGCCTCCGAGTGCCACTCTGCTCCCACCTGCCCGGTCCAGGTGCGCGTCCCCTCCGTGCCCCGCCGGGGTTCCAGCTGCGCCTCAGCTGCCCGCCGCGGCTGTGGGGAACCAGCCGCCCCCGCCCCCGAGTTTCGGATTCCGGATTCCGGGGTCGCCAAGTCCGGTGCCCTCGGTCTCTTTTATCATTTCTCCTGCTCCCGGGGCGAGTACCGCCGGAGCCGGCCCGGGGCAGGGGCTCGGGCTCGGGCTTGGGCAAAGGCAGGGTTTGCGAGTGCTGGCAGGAGGCTGGCCGCTGCCCCCAGCCGCGCTGGGGACTGGCCGGCGGGCTGGGGAGGCGGCTGGCCCCGGGAGCGCGTCCTCTCCTTGCGCTCCACACAGTGCAGTTCATTCATGAGCCGCCCGGGCCTGTGTTGGAGGGTGCGGTGGGGAAAAGATTCAGACGGAACTGCGAGTGGGGCAAAGGCCCTGTTGGGGGGAGGGGGCGCGCTTTGTCCGTCCTGGCTGTCTTGAGCGCCTAGAGTGGACAGTCCCAAAGCTTGGCGCCTGGAAAGGACGCTTGGGAAGTGGGGAGGAGAGGTCAGAGGGGCCGGCTGCCCTTGGGGCTCTATGCTGCCACCTGCCTGGGTCCCCCGGGCAGAGATCTGGCGTCTCTGGGCTAGCCTGAGCACTCCACCCTCCTGGGGGGTTAGGGCTTTCCTTCCCAGTACCCTTCTCTGGCCTCTCCCTGGGTCTGCAGCATCCTGGGAGATGATGCTGTGCCTAACACTTCTTGAGGAGGGGCTCCCTGTCCCGAGTCCCAGGCGAGGATGAGGGGGGAGTGGGAGTGTCTGCCAGGCTTCAGGTGGGGTTGTGCTGGCAGCGTGATTGTCTCTCCAGGGCACCAGAGGGTCCAGGTCCTGGCATGCCCCTGGTGGCACATGCTGGGGCCTGCTGTTGGCTCACTCAACACTAGTCTTGGCCTGTGAGTGGGTGGGCAGGTGGGTGGGGATGTGGCGAGGCAGAAAGGAGGTGGTGGGTAACTAAGAACCTTCTTTTGGACATCATACAAGTTGTCTCCAATATAACAGCATCATAGAGACCTGGGTTCAAACCCTAGCTCCAGGCCAGGTGCCGTGGCTCACACCTGTAATCCTAGCACTTTGAGAGGCCAAGGTGGGAGGATCATTTGAGGCCCATAGTTCAAGGCCAGCCTGGGCAATAGTGAGACCCTGTCTCTACCAGAAACACACACACACATCCTAGCTTCGCCATTCTTTAGCTATGTGACCTTGACAAGTTATTTAACCTGTCTAAACCTCAGTTTCCATTAAAAAATGTGGGCACTACCATATCCTTAACAGGGTTTATCGTGGGGATCAAACAAGATAACAGGTAAAGAGCTTGGCACCCTGCCTGGTAGTTCATCAATGATGGGTTCTCTTCTCTGAACTTCTGACCATCCAGCACCACCCTCACACGCCAGCACCTCCCAACTTGCTACAGATGGATGAAGTATGTTCAAAGAGTTTGGGGACATTCTCTGCCACTCAGTGGCAAAGTCCCTAACACAATAGTCCCTAACACCCTTAGATCTAAACAAGAAGCCCACCCTGACTTGATGGGCTCTATCATGTTACTGTCGTATTAAATTATATGTTTTTATTTTATTTTGATTTTTACCAGTTTTCCTTCTCTAAGCCAACCCCTTTTATTACACATCTTATTAATAACAATAGCTAATTTTTGGAGCCCATAATATGCCTTAGACTATATTAAGAGCTTTACATAAGTCATCTTGTTTAACCCTCTTCAGAACAACCACACAACTGGATTATTGCTCCCATCTTACAGACAAGAGAACTGAGGACCAGGGTGATTAAGTAATTTGCCCAGGCTAAAAGCCAGGTCTTTCTCATCTTAGAGCCTGTGCTTTTAACGAGCAGCCTATGTTGCCTGCCTCAGAACTTGAAATTAGAAACCCAAGGCCTGAGTGGAGGATCTAAGAGCTACAAGCAAGAAAAAAGGAGCAGGTAGAAATAGGGCGTGACATTTCTCCATAGTGGTAGCTGGCATCCCTCACCTCCCTGGTAGAAGTGGCTCCTCTGTTGGCAGAGGTGGCAGAGCACAGTGGGTAAGAGCATAGATTGGAGGCCGGGTACGGCAGCTCACGCCTGCAATCCTAGCACTCTGGGAGGCCAAGGCGGGAAGATTGCTTGAGCTCAGGAGTTTGAGACCAGCCTGAGCAAGAGCGAGACCCTGTCTCTACTAAAAAAAAAAAAAAATAGAAAGAAAAAAAGTTAACTGAGCAACTAAAATAGAAAAATTACCAGATGTGGTGGTATGTGCCTGTAGTCCCAGCTACTCGGGAGGCTGAGGCAGGAGGATCGCCTGAGTCCAGGAGTTTGGGGTTACTGTGAGCTAGGCTGATACCACTCTAGCCCAGGCAACAGAAGGACTCTGTCTCAAAAAAAAAAAAAAAATACCATAGACTCGAGCCAGGCTACCTCAGTCCATATCCAGATCTACCACAGACGGCTCTGTGACCTTGGGCAAGTAATGTGCCTCTCTTTACCTCTGTCCTCCTGGGGTTTGTGATGGGGAGCAATGAGTTAACATTTGTAAAGTGCTTAGAACAGTGTCTGGCACAAAATACACTTATAAAGCATTCTTTTGCAACTACTTTAATCTGTGATACATTGTTGCCTATCCTTCGAAGTCAGTAGGGTATAGGGTGAGGATATTAATTAATTCTTGTTACAGATTGGAGACTGAGGCCGGGTTACATAAAACAGAGCTAGCCTCCATCTACGTCCTCACCTCAGACCAACTGCTTGCTAGGATCCTAACACTAATTAATTTCCCCAATAATCCACAGAAAAAGCTTTTAATTTATACCCAATCCTCCCCATGCATACTCCTTAATGGTAAAATAACAGTCTTAAATTAGCTAGAAACAAATAATATAACCTCCATCGATCTCTCTAACACATTCAAGCTAAAGCTCAATATCAGACTAGAGAAACTCTGGGACCCAGTGGCCCAGGCACCTTTGTGGAGTGGAAGAACTGCCCTCTGCCACTCCTCCCCAAATATTCTGTCTCAGTCTCTCCCTCCTCTCAGCTGCTCAGCCCCAGTGCTGGCTTGTGAGAGCAGCTGCCCTTGATGAAACTAAGCCCCACAACCCCACACCCACAATAAGAGTTTAGAGTAACCCTTTCAGACTGGCAGAGCCACCAGCCCTGCGCTCCCCCTTACCTGTCCTGTCCCTTGTGCAGTTGCTTCCTCCTGGTCCCTGCTTCCTCCCTGTAAAATGGGGATCAGATTGTGATCTGAGCATGCCCTGCCTTCTTCCTGTGCAGGTGAGAGGATAAATGAATAAAGAGGGAGGCAGTAGAGGAGCATGGTGACTTCAGATACTAAGCATCTAGCTGGTTCCTCACCACCCTGCTGGGGCCCCTTCAGCTAGAAGCTCCCAGAATTTTCTTTTCTTTTCTTTTCTTTTTTTTTTTTTGAGAGGGAGTCTCACTCTGTTGCCCAGGCTAGAGTGAGTGCTATGGCGTCAGCCTCGCTCATAGCAACCTCAAACTCCTGGCTCAAGCCATCCTCCTGCCTCAGCCTCCCAAGTAGCTGGGACTACAGGCATGCGCCACCATACCCGGCTAATTTTTTCCTATATTATTAGTTGGCCAATTAATTTTCTATTTATAGTACAGATGGGGTCTCTCTCTTGCTCAGGGTAGTTTCAAACTCACTCAGCATCCTGAGCATCGCCTCGGCCTCCCAGAGAGCTAGGATTATAGGCGTGAGCCACCACGCCCGGCCTTTTTTTTTTTTTTTTTTTGAGACAGAGTCTCACTCTCTTGCCTGAGCTAGAGTCCTGTGGTGTCAGCCTAGCTCACAGCAACCTCCAACTCCTGGGCTCAGGTGATCCTCCTGCCTCAGCCTCCCGGGTAGCTGGGACTACAGGCATGTGCCACTGTGCCCTGCTAATTTTTTCTATTTTTAGTTGTTTTAGCTAATTTCTTTCTATTTATAGTGGAGACGGGGTCTTGCTCTTGCTCAGGCTGGTCTTGAACTCCTGAGCTCAAGCAATCCTCCCACCTCAGCCTCCCAGAATGCTAGGATTACAGGTGTGAGCCACCACACCCAGTCAGCTCCCAGAATTTTCTACCTTCCTTTGGTGTGGAGAAGACAGGAGGTGGGGGGAATGATACTTTGGGGCTGGTACTCATTTCATTCTGGCCTGGTAGAGCCTTGGAGTTCAGGGACAGAAATAGGCAAGGGATGGGAATGTGCTAGCGAGAGTTCTGGAGTGCATCAGAGTTGGGAGTTGAGAAAGGGGGGCTAGTTAGAGGCCCCCAAGATACACCTATCTTTAACCTCCCCTAGTGCACCAGCGTTCTGTGCACATTACATTTACATACCCAGGTTCCTAGACACACCCACGTACACAACACCCCCACTTAGAATCCAAGGATTCTCTTCATTTCCATGGACTGCCATGCACT